GGGCCGGGCGGCGGGCCGGGGGCTCACCATACAGGCCCTGCACGGCCAGCACGTCGTCCCAGCTGAGCAGCGCGTCGCGGCCCAGCCTCTTGTAGTAGGGCGCCATGAGCGCGCGCGGCGCCGGCGAGTGCGGCAGGCCGAGCGTGTGGCCGATCTCGTGCGCCAGCACCACGAACAGGTTGCGCCCGCGGCGGCGGCTCAGGGACCAGCGCTCGTCGCGGTCGAAGTGCGCTTCGCCCCGGCGGGGCAGGAAGGCGTGCGCCAGGGCGCCCCCTGCAGGCGGCGCAGAGGGTCAGGGGAGGCAGCGTGGTGTCCATACAGCGTGGGGCCTAACTGCCTGGGTTTCCGTCCCGGTTTTCCTATTCGCTAGCTGTGTGACTTTGGGCAAGTAGCGCTCCCTCTGATCTGGAATGGGAATGATGATAATGAGCTGCTTCTTCCTCACGGGGTTGCTCTGGGGATTACAGAGGGATATGTGTATACGAGTAGGTTACATATCATATTTCGTGCCTAGGCCATAATGAATGCTACGCAGGAATTATTTTCACAAAGATCTAGGTAGGAATAGGTAGAGTGGTTACCCCAGAGGTCGGCACGATGGGACCTTCTGGATGACGATAATGTCGATTCTTGATCGGCGTGCTGGGTGTGTTTATGGGTATGTATAGTCTCTTTAATAAAAAGTATATCTATTTTTGTGTTCTTGCCTTTCTCTCCTGGGGCCCCTCTGTGGGTCTCTACCTCCTGTAGTAGGAGTGAGCAGGGGGAGTGAACTGGATCAATGAGGTTCCAGCTTGTGGCATGCCCCAGAGGGAGCTTATCAGTTACGCAGTTCCCAGGACCCCAGGCTTCACGATTCACTTTCTGCAGGGGCAGGGGTCAGCCAACGGCTCGGTGATAATGTTGGCCTAGAAGCCTGCTGAGGGCGCTTCCAGCCTTGCCTTCTTGGAGCCCAGGCCAACCGGGACTGACCACCATTAAAGGAGAGCCGCCTGGGGTGCGGAGCGTGGGCCATGTGTGGACCAATACGTGCCTCCTGTTTTGGATATGCCTCGAGCTGTCCGAGCAATGTTAGCCCTTTCCGCTCACTCCTCCCACTAATCCTGGGAGACAGATGGCAGGTTTCAGAGAGAGAACACCTAAACTCAGACAAAGCGCCTGCCCCAAATCAGAGAGCTTTCTCCCAGTCCCGTGCTGTCTTAGCTGCCACACTCCAGCTGAGTACAGGCATGAACATTTCATGTAGATAGCAGGGGTGAAGTGAGTTATATGCAAGAAGACATATATGTGTTACATGTGGATTCTTGAAAAGCTTAGATTTCTCCCAGTCCTAACCTGGGTCCCAGCAGCAGGGCCTAGATGTGGGCTTTGCTCAGAGTGGGCTTGATGCCAAGTAGAGGAGCGCAAGGGAGGTGAGGGCCCAAATTCCCAGGCCACGCAAGGGCTCGAGTCCCCAGCGTGCAGGGGTCTAGTCAGGGCTCCTTTCATCATTAGGGTGGGGGGGGGAGGGACGGGGTGGGCGATGCACAGGTAGCCTGCAGTCAGGTTCTGAAGGCCAGTGTTGGGCAGAATAGGAGGAGAGCAGTTTAAATTGCTGCCGCAAGCCTTCAGTTTGGCGGCAAACAGGAGAACTGGCTGGGCTGTGCGAATGCGAAGCCCTTCGGTGGCGGGTAGGGGATAGAATGCCTCTTGCCCTGCGGCAGTGACTGTGGGAGTGGGCGTGGGGAGGGCTGGAGTGGGGTAGTGGTGGCCTCTGGATGTTTTTAGGGTGGTGGTCGGGAGAACACCCACTCTTGGAGAACAGGAGAGGCACAGGCCTGTCTAGAGGCAGAGGACAGATGACGGGACCTCAGAAGCTTCTCCCAGAAAATACTCTGGAATCTACAATGCACTTTCCATGCAGAACCTCATCTGGCCTTCCCTTCAGCCATGTGGCACACAACTGGGCAGAAACCATTGTTCCCATTCTACAGAGGAGGAGACTGAGGGTTCTTTGAAGGTGGATCCAGCTTGGCCAAGGCCAAAGGGAGAGCAAAGGCCCCATTGCCCTCCCCAGACTGCCTCTCCCAGGTGGGTTCCCCTCCTGCCACGTGAGAGAGAGCCTCTGTGTCAGCACCTGGGCCATCAAAGGCGTTGCCCAGCCCGTCGTTGTGGTCCCCTTGGAAGAAGGTGAGGCGGATGTCAGCGGGGACTGTGGCTGGGGCCTCCCAGAATTCCAGCGCCGAGACATTGCTCCACAGTTGGAAGGCGGCGCGCACGGCCCCACGAACGGCCGGCTCCGGGAGGTGCCGTGGCCAGTTCACCAGGCGGTAGGAGAGGTGCTGCTTGTACCACTTGCTGCCTGCCAACCGGAGAGGCCGCGTCGGTCACACCCACCTGCGGAACCCGGGCTGGTCCCCAAGGACCCATATGAGGCGGAGATAGGCCCTCCTCCAGGCAGTCCCAGATTTGAAGGGGAGTAACACAGCCCTTGTCCTGGGAAGAGCCCGTCTGGCTGGGGAGACACTGCTCTCGAGCTGACAGGTCTACCCTTGTCCCAGAGAGGCCCCAGTCTAGTGGCTTGGCCTGGGGAAGTCCCTCGGGGAGATGTGACCTCTGCCCAGGAAAAGCCCCCAACCTGAAGGACTCTCTGGTCTGAGGTCTTCTTCCTCACAGCCTGGGCTGAGCCTGAAAACCGGTCTGCACCTCTTGCTGGCAGCAAATCCCTACCCCTGCCTACTGGGGCGGGGGGAGAGGAGAGATGGGGCCACTGGGGCCCCAGCTGTGACCCCTTCCTCCTCTCCTCCCCTCACAACCGCCTGCCCTTCCCGTTCCAGTGCCGCAGGACTGCTGCCGACAAGCTACCAAGACCCATTTATTAGAGGTCTTTCCCTGACCCCTGGCCCTCCCCCTCACTTCCTCAGGGACTCTGGAGAGCTCTGAGGTGAAAACAAATAAGAACAAAGGGTGTGTTTTGTCACTCACTGAGATGGAGAGAAATTTTTCCATCTCCACTTAGCTACGAGTTTCTATTCCTTTGCCCAGAACTGCAGTTCCTCCCTTGGACCTAAGAAAGACTCTGGCCTCTTGCCCAAGCCTCAGGTCAACTGAGTCCCCCTGCAGCACACCCAGGACCAGGGTGCTTAGAAGGTCCAGATCCTGAGTTTTTCATGGGCTATTTCTGAGCCTGGCAAGCTCAGGGGCTGAGACTGTGACCCCAGCTGGAAGACTCACAGCTCCCAGGCAGGCCTCATGGGCCCAGGGAGTGCATAGGTTTCGTGTGATCTTTGGGGCCTCAGTTTCCCAAATGGACCAGAATTCCTGAGGTATGGGTGACAAGTAGGCAAGCCTGGCCAGTGGACACAGCCCTCTCTCTCCTTGGAGGAACAATTGAAGGTTCAGACAGCCTGCCCTTTTGCCTCGGGGAAGTCCTTGCCTGAACCAGGGAGGAGGGCTGAAGTCATGGAAGTTTGGCCATCTCCTCATCCGACCTCTCTGCTCTGTTCTGGGGAAATTGAGATCGGGTGAAGGGACCTGCCCAGGGTCACAGAATGAGTGAGTAGCTGAGCTAGGCCCCGAGCCCAGGCCCTGACATCTGACCCAGTGCGCTTTCTACTACACCACACAGGTAAACAGGCACATTTGCTAAGACTCAAGGCTGATAATTTGCCTGAACATGGCTCCCACGGGTCAAAGCAGGGGCTCTGCATGAGCTGAAATTCTCCAGATGGAAGGGAGGGTGCTAGAGAGCTGAGTGCCCTTTCCCTCCCTATTCCCCATGGAAGTGGGGGAGGGGAATGTCTTTTCTCCCACCCTGAGCCAAGCTCCATTCCAGGCAATGCTGCCTTCCCAGGCCTGTTTGGTCTGGCAGCCACCCAACCCCTCCCAACCAGTGACCAACACTCAGGGAGGGAAGGGGGAAGGATTCTTAGGAAGGGAGGGAGACAAGGAAGGCAGAGGGAAGGCCTGGGGTCCAGAGGTGACTTGGAGGGCTCTGGACTGGCTGGCTCTGGGCATTTCCACACCCTGCTGGGGCTGACCGACTCCCAGGCTCTCCCTGCCCACCTTCAAGCTGCTAGAAGTGTGAGGCAGGTCCTTCTGCCTCTTTGCATTAGAGGGGGGCTTCGCTCAATGGGCAAGAAAGGGAAGGTGACAGCTCGCAGGATAAAAATCCTCTGTGAACGTGTGTGTGTGTGTGTGTGTGTGTGTGTGTGCACGCAGGCTCGTGTGTCTTTGGAGGAGGACAGGGAGGACAAATAGGTACAGGACTGAGAGAAAATGGTTAATTTTCCTTGAGAGGGGTGGTTGGTGTGCCTGCCAAGAAGGAAGAACCCCCCTCCACCCACCACCTACCCTCACCAGCAGCCTGAGCCCTCTCTCCATCCTCTTCCTCTTAGAGGAGCCTGGCCACCTCAGGCCCCATCCTGAACTCTGGCCCAGGCAAGGCTGGATTCTGCAGTGACCTCTAGGCCACAGAAGCACCTGGCAGTGCACCCCCCACGCCCTTGCCCCAAAATCCAAAAGGTAAGAGGGAAAGAAAAGGACATGGGGAGGAGTGGAGACCTAGACACCTGACTCCCAACAGGCAACGGATACTGTGGAAAGAAGCTGGTCGGAATGCCAACACTTCTACTCGCAACCTTACATAGCAAATTATGGAATCTCTCCAAACCTTAGTTTCCTTATTTGCAAAGTGTGGTTGGTAAGACTTACTTGTGGTAAAAATGAGAAGGCAAATGAACTAGAATGTATGGGTGCGGGCATGTGGTGGGTGCTCAGTAAATGCCTACTCTCTTCTCCTTCCTTTTCCACCCCAGATTCACCCCTGGACCCCCTACCCTCCCCCCCAGCTCCTTGGGGGACCGAGGGGGATTGAAAATCTCCCCCGTAAGCACAGAGGGGACCAGACACTTGGAATGAGGTTGCCAGATTTAGCAAATAAAAACATGGAACACCTGGTTAAATTTGAATGTCAGATAAATAACAAAATTTTTCTCTTTTTTTTGGTATAAAAGTGAGCACAGAACAATGATTTGTTGTTCACCTGACATCCAAATTTAACTGAACGTCTTATATTTTGTCTGGCAACCCTACCCTGGAACCCAACTTCGTCAAGAGAGCATTTGCCCACAGAGTAGACAGTCACTGGCCTAGAAATCCACATCATTTTTAAAGCCCCCACCCGTGTTCTGGGTTTCTCACATGGGGAATCTCACTCAGTCCTCCCAGTGATGAGAAGGCTTGGCCACACTCTGGCTATGTGGCCCTGGGGAAGTTTCCTAAGCTCTTTGTCCCTTAGTTTGGCTCTCTGTAAAATGAGGATAATGATGGTCCCTATCTCCTAGGGTTGTTATGGGATTACCTGACTTAACCCATTTAGAACTGCACTTGGCACATCATAAATGCTCAGGAAGGGTCAACTGTTAAGAATACATTTTCCAAAGGAAGGCATAGGAAGTGTTCAGTGCCTGCCAAGCACACAGCTCCTTTCTAGGGAAGGTCTTCTCACTCAGTGGGTAAAGGAAGTCAAGCTGCTGTGGTTCAGGTTATGAACAAGAGAGAAAGTCTCCATCTAACCTGAGCCACTGCTGTCTGGACCAGGGATCAGGGTCAGACAGTGACATGGGGCTAGGCTGGTAGGGCAAGGCTACCTGCCTGGGAGATGCCTTAGCTTGAATCTCTGTTCCAAATGGATGCTCCAATTTGAACGGCACCAAATAGGTTCCATCAGCTACCCCCATGAGAAGATGCTGCCAGAAGGTAGTATCTCTGGTGCTCAAGTTGTGCCCTGGATGCCCAGGAGGCATCATCCCAGTTCTCTGTGAGACCACCTCTAGCCTGGAAATGCCACTGCTGAGACTGGGTCTGGGGCCGCCCCACCTTCCACCGCAAGCCCCCTCCCCTTGGTGATCAGGGCCCATCTCTACTTTGCAACCAGAAAGAGCCTATGTCTTAGATGAGGAAATGGAGCAGTGACACACTGCTGAGCCCAGAGCCCCAGCTCCAGGAATGCTGTCCCAGCTCATGCTGCGCCTCTGTTCTACCTCTGTGGTCCAGAAACACAGTGGGATGCAGAACATGTTGACACCAAGGACTTCTCGACCCCAGCATTCGGACCCCATCACTGCCATCCTCCAATAGCTGAGGGGAACACCCACAGCTTCCTTATGGACTAGCGAATGTATGGGTGCGGGTATGTGAACCTTGTGTTCTGTTCATAATGGATATTGTTGCTGCAAGTAGTTAATGCAAATTAAAAGAGACAATGGCCCAAAGTGCTCGCGGTAAATTTGATTATAGATGAAAACCTGACTCAACAACCCCATCTTGTTAGAAATCCTAAAAACTGCAGAAATCAGGTCAGAGAAAATTAGACTTAGTACAAAGAAGATGTTAAAATTACACACAGTAAAACTCGTTATTGATGAAGAATTGACAGAAGAATCAAATCTTCAGAAATCTTAGGTCTGTAACATTTGACCCTGGAAGATTGGATCTGGACAAAAAGGAGGAAGAGGAGGAGAAAGAAAGATAAAACCAAAACCACAAACGGAGAATCACAGCAGCAGGAACCGTGATGTATAAAATGTGCAGTGATGAAATGTCCAGAATAGGCAAATCCATAGAAACAGAAAGCAGATGGGTGCTTGTCAGGAGCTGGGGAGAGGGGGCGGGGAGAGGGGGAGGGGAGTGACCGCTAAGGAGCATGGGGTTTCTTCTGGAGGTGATGAAAGTGTTTTGGAATTAGATTATGGTAATGGTTGCACAATTCTGCGAATATACTAAAAAACACTGAGTGGTACACTTCCGATGGGTAAATTTTATGGTATGTGAATTCTATTCCAATAAGGCTGTTAAAAGCGTGCTACAGACAAAATAAAACTGATCGGTAAATCACATCTTTGTTGAATAATTCTTATGATGAAAACAACTTTGGGAAAACATAAAGCAAAACATTGGCAACAGTTTAACTGCCCTGCATAACTAACTGATCAAGGAATTAAGTGGGCTTGATGGGGCTTGCTGTGGAAAACATCGGCATAATGAAAATCCATCCATTTTGGTGTAATTCTGATTTAAATGTCTGTGTTCACAAACATGGCCCTCCACTTGAGGGGTTCTGTTCACCCACTGCTCTCCCCTCTCCTGCCCTAGGGAAGAGGATACCGACAAAGCCCAGTCCGAGGCTAGGCTGTTTTTTTTCTCTGGCCACGGGGCTTCTGGGTGTTGGGAATCCTGGCTTAGATAGATTTCAGCAGGGCTCACCTTGCTTTGCAAAGCGTTTCTTACGCCTCATTTTGGCCCGGCGTCCAGCAAACAGGGCACTGACCCTCTCGGTCCAGGCCACCTGACTGTCTGTGTCTGCCACCCCACAGCGGGGCCGTGTCATCTGGCGCAGGGTGGCAGGGTCTAGCACACCGCTGATGGGCAGCTGAGATACCCTCTGGAACTCCCTGTCAGGAGGAATTGAGATAAAGGACCACAGTGGGAGGGTGGGTGGTGGGGGTGAGGGCAAGGAGTTTCCCTGGAGACAGCAGGAGGCTGGTGGCAGGGTTGGTGGGGGGAGCAATGGAGCATGACCCTTGGACACAGAAGGGAGGCCAGCCATCCAGGAGGCGGGAAGAGGAGACCCAAGCTTGCCCTCTGGCACCCCCAAATCCCCCACATACCTGATGGCATTGCTGAATCTTGCCGCGGTGAGGTCTTTGGGGACCTGCTCACTGAGATATCCGTACTTCTCCAGGAATGCCTGGGGGAGAGAGGAGCGTCAGCTTTCCCACGGTGTGGCATCCTTTCCCCTCCCTTGGTCTCCGAGGGTCCGTGACACATGCATCATGCCCAGTCTCACCTTTGTCCCAGTGAAGTCTATGAGCTACAGGAGAAGGAGTCCTGGGACCAAAGCCAGAAGGACGTAGACTCCGTTCCAGGCCACCACTGACTACCTTGATGGTCTTGGGCAAGTCACTCAATATTTCTAAACCTTAGCTTCCTTAATTCTCAAACTGGCCATGGAGTCCCTACCCAGAGTATTTCATGGCATCGTCAGAGATCTAGCAGGGCATGCTGGACAAGTAGAGTTAGGGGCTCTGGAATCACGGTGGCCTGGGTTTAAATCCCAGTTAGGAAGCTATTTCTCTAAACCACAGGTTCCTTATCTGTAAAAGGGACTTAGAAACAGTATATAACTTACAGGTTTTTTTGGTGAAGCTTGATCACAAGTGACTACAAAGCACTTAACACGGTGCCTGTCACCTAGGAGGGGCTCCATACAGAGCAGCTTTTATAAATATAAATATGCACTCAGCTCTGCTCCTGAAACATCTCCCCTGTCTAGGGAGTTACCCTGTATTGATCAGAAGTTGGGCTGGTCACCCGCAGGCTCTGCCATGTCTGGCTTGGGAATTAATTATCTTTCTATTCTGGTTTCTTCCTAAACAATTCACCTCCTCCCCAAAGCAGGTATGTTTAAGGCCCTATGAACAACAAATGCACTTGCCCTCAACTCTATGGTTTGTATAAAAACTTGGCTCCTTAGAAAAGTAATTTTTGGGGTGGTGCCTGGGTGGCTCAGTTGGTTAAGCATCTGCCTTTGGCTCAGATCATGATCCCGGGGTCCTGGGACCAAGCCCCACATCGGGCTCCCTGCTCAGTGGGGAGCCTGCTTCTCCCTCTGCCTGTCATTCCCTCTGCTTGTGCTCTCTCTCTGACAAATAAATAAATAAAATCTTAAAAAAAAATAGCGTTAAAGTAGTTTTGGGGGGAAGCTGGCTGGCTCAGTTGGAGGAGCATGTGGCTCTTGATCTCAGGGTTCTGAGTTCGAGCCCCACATTAGGTGTCGAGATTACGTAAATAAATAAATAAATCTTAAAAAAAAAAGTAACTTTTGAATTAGAAACCTGCAACTTCCTCTTTTCATTCACTCATTTGTTAATTCATACAATGTACGAGGTACACTGTCAGGTCCAGTGACCAACAAGACTTGTGGATAGAGACAGACAGTAGTAACACAGATAACAAGTGAAGGAGACAGTTTGGATGCTATAAAGAAAAGAAACTGGGTGATGTGATTGAGAATAACTTTTTAAAAAAATATTTTATTTATTTGACAGAGAGAGACACAGCGAGAGAGGGAACACAAGCAGGGGGAGTGGGAGAGGGAGAAGCAGGCTTCCCGTGGAGCAGGGAGCCCGATGCGGGGCTCGATCCCAGGACCCTGGGACTATGACCCGAACCGAAGGCAGATGCTTAACGACTGAGCCACCCAGGTGCCCCGATTGAGAATAACTTAGTGAGAAACTTTCCACCAGGGAGGTCAGGGCAGGACCCTCTGCAGAGCTGATATTTGATGTGAGTCGTGAAGAGTGAGAAGTAGCTGGCCATGCAGTGAGGTGGGAAAGACTGTTCCAGGCAGAGGAGGAGCGAACGCAGAGCCCTGGGCTAGGAACCGTGGTGATGTGTCTGAGGGACAGAGGAAGGCTAGAGCACAGTGAGTGTGAAGAAGCAGGACATGTGATGAAGCCACAGGGAGAGAGGCAGGACTGCCACCCAGGGTAGGAAAGGGGAGTTTTAGCTGAGTCCTGATTCAGGTGGGTTAATTGTGAGGACTGAAAGAAAGAGGAATCCGGGATGGCTCCTCAATGTTCGCCTTGGATGGTGAAGCTAGAGACAGCATAAGGAAACAAGAGGCGGGCCAGATGGGCATGGATGCAAGTAAGATCCACGCGGTGATGTCAAGTGGCATTAGTTGTAGGATCCCAGAACTCAAGGGAGAAGCCAGAATCTTCCAGCGTGTGGATGATGTGATGGCGGTGGACCTGGGTGTCATCCCCTGAGGAAGTTACTGTAACTGGAGAACATCTCATGGCCCAAATGCCTTTTTGCCACCACGTGCCCTCACACACCTGGAAGCTGCTCTCTCCGTGACCACGTGTGTGGAGGCCAGTGGTGAGAAGCGTGCGACTCATCGTCCCTACCTATCACCAGCCCTACCCTTCGGGGAAACCATGCACTTGGCTCCCTGCTTGCCCTTGTCCCTGAGAAAGCCTCATCGATGGATTAAAAGAAATGTCACCTCGGCTGTTTAATTCCTATACAGACACACATCGTCTCTCCTTGTTTAGGCCTCCTGGCTGTGTTACCTATATGGAAATAATTTTCTGTCTTCCTTGTTCTCTTACTCACTTTCCTTTGCTGCATTTCTTGAATCAACACCAATCACAGCTGCTGCCTCGAGGAAAAGGTGCAAATTGAGAACAAAAACTAGACACGAAGAGCCAGGATGGGCAAGCTCCCAAGCCTTTGCAAGTATCCAGTCTTGGCTTTGTGAATTTCATTATATCTGCCCTCAGCGGCTTCCACATCCTCTTCTCAATAAAGCCACTTTCCATAAGGAACCCTTATTCTGGACAACAGACCACTTCCCAACTCCATTTCATTATTTTTCTACACTAATTTATTCGTATTTCAGTACTATTTTCTTTTTTCCCTTTCCAAATGTGCACTATTTTGGGATGCATAATGGATTAAAGGAGTTCTAGTGGCTTAATCTGGAAGACCATTTATTGCCCAAAATAGTATGGCATCATGGAATAGCCACTGGGCTTGGAATCAAGAATCTGTTCCCAACCCTGACTCTGGGTGGCCAGAGACAAATTACTTAGCATCTCTGAGCCTTCCGTTTCTTCACCTGCAATGTGAAAACAAGAATAACCCCCACAGGATTCTCAGAAGGATTTTTTTTTTAAAGATTTTATTTATTTATTTATTGTTTATTTATTTATTTATTTATTTATTTATCAGTCAGAGAGAGAGAGAGCGCGCACGCACAAGCAGGGGGAATGGCAGGCAGAGGGAGAAGCAGACTCCCTGATGAGCGAGGAGCCCAATGTAGGACTCAATCCCAGGACCCTAGGATCATGACCTGAGCCAAAGGTGGATGCTTAACCATTGAGCCACCCAGGCGCCCCAATTCTCAGAAGGATTAAGTAAAGCAATGCCTATCAGCATACATAGTAAATAATAAACAGTTGATCTAGTTGATTTACCTTAGTAGAAAAATTAACAGACTTTTGGAAGGCAACCCGTCTATAAGACGGGAACTGCTCGGAACAAGGCAGTTAGAGCTCTGTTCTCAATTCAGGTGCTCTATCTTAGACTTGCCCCGCCCCAGCCAAGTGCCTGATTCTCTTCCTTGTCTCCTCCCCTTCCCTTGGTGAGGATGGATAGAGTGGCTTTCTAAAGGAAGTCGGAAACTCAGTGTCCCCTTTGAAGCCGATTTGCTGAGTGACTTGGGAGAGACCGGGTCACAGGCTAACAGGCTGGCACTCCCTGTGCTCCTCCCCCCAAACCCACCCAGCCCTTATCAGAAAGTTGGCTCCGGTTCTGGAACTATGAAGCCTTGGACAGAGCAGAAGGGAGGGGATACTGACTAGTGGCGTCTCCTGTTTCCTGGCTGGGCTGCCGTGTCTGGTACTTTGGCAGGCAAGGTGGACTGGAGGGCAGGATGAGGGTGGAGGCCTTTTTTAGGGGTCCATCAGAGGGGAAATCCTGGGCCTCTCTTCCTGACTGGTCTCTGGCACCCTGTGGGTTGTAAGGCAGGGCCGAATTCCCAGGAGGCAGTATGAGCACGTGAGAATGAGAAAAATAAATTTTAAGAATTTGACATTTTATATTTCCACAAAAGCCCTGAAGTATTTTTTTAAGATTTTATTTGAATAAATGAATATTTTAGAGAGAGAGAGAGAGAGAGAGAGAGATCGCACAAGGTGGGGGGGGGAGGGGCAGAGGGAGAGGGACAAGCAAACTCCCTGCTGAGCAGAAAGCCCGATGCGGGACTCGATCCCAGGACCCTGGGATCATGACCTGAGCTGAAGGCAGATGCTTAACCGACTGAGCCACCCAGGTGGCCTGCACTGAAGTATTATAATAGCAATTATCAGAACTTAAGGATTCCCTTACACTTATTTTTAATATGAACATTTGTATTTTAATATGAAGACTTTAAAATTACGTATAGGAAGAGGCCCTTCATATCCTCAGTGCTGAGTGCCCTGAAGTTCTGTTGAGTGGAGGCAGAACCACACCCTCGGCTCCTGCAGCTGTCCCTAACCCTCTTCGGTGAGCCCATTTGCCAAGCCTCAGTTGCCCCTGCAAAGGTTACAGAAGTGCCCTGTCTGCATGGGGGAAAGAGCAGAGGTGGGGGGCTGGTGACACGTGGTAAAGGGATCCCAGAAAGAGACACAGGACTAGGAGGTAGAACTCCTGTTCTCATTCCAGCTCGACAACTAACGCCTTGGAGGAGTCATTTCCCTTCCAGGCTGGAGCTTCCCCAGGGCTTGTCCTGTGTTCTCTTAGGGACCCCCTGAGCTCTACCTGGGGTCACCCCCACTGCCCTGCATGGAGGCCATGTCCTGGCTGCTCCTCTCTGCCTTGCGGTTCCAAACACCAGGTTTTCTCTTTGCCCCGTTCTCCACCCATCCTCTCTCCTGTGGAGCCCAAGGCTTAAGCTGAGTGGAGAGGAAGCTGGAGGACCGTGCCCCTTCTGTGATTCACCCTGCTCAGGCCTAAATCTTGTGACAACCTGCCTCACCCACTTGGTCAGGGCTGGGGCCACTTCCCTGGGGAGTCGCCTCTGAAAAGTTCTGGGAGTGGCTGTGGTGTCTGAGTAAAATGAAAACGGTTCTCCCTGCGACCCAGAAAGCTGAGTGGGATTAGAACTCTGGGGGTTCTAGTCCCGCATCTGTCTTGACT